AACCGAGGCAGCACCCGCTTTCCAGGCGAGGTTCAGAAGTGGGAGAGCCATGGTTAGTGTTAGACTGAAGAGAAGCATGGAAGGACCGGTGGGAGGCAGCCCAACATCAGCACAGGCTTTATTTGGGGAAGAAAGAGATAAAAATTAACGACTGTCCCTTTGTCAGTCTTTGGGGTCAGGTGGGGAATTACCAGTAAGCCACCTGCTAGGGGAGGAAGTCTGGTCCTAATATGGCTGCCCTTACTGTTCACCCTAATAGTTAAGATGGACAAATCCCAAAGGCCAGGATGTGTGGCCAGGGAGGAGGACCTGTTTACAGAAAATAAGTCCTAGGTTGGGGGTGTGGCTCAAGCAGTAGAGCACCTGCAGGAGGTGTTCAGCTGAACTCACCTGAGGGACACCCCAGTAATGCCAAAACAAAAAAGAAGTCCCAGCATGAAGGAGGAGATTCTCTAGCAAGATTGGGAAAGGGGCAGAAGGTTAGCAATGACCTTGCTCCTTCCTCTTTAGTCTCTCTAGTCCTGGCCTGGCTTCTGTCAAGCACTTAGCTTTGGACAGTGCTAGCCTTCTTGGATATTTTGAGATCTACAGTAGTTAAACGTGTTACACCCAAATCTCCTAAAATATGCACCCTTTTAATCCCCAAGCAGGAAGGATATCTCCCAGATTAGCAGCTGTCAATCTTTCGAAAAGGGATGCTAAAGATGCTAACAGCTAGCATTTATGGGAGGTTGGTTTCATGCCAAGCGTTTTATACACGTCAACCCTCACAACAACCCTGTGAGGTGGAGTCTGGCACTATAATTCCTATTTTACTGAGAGGGAAATTGAGATGAGACCCCGACATAGCAAGTCACTCACTGGCTCAAAGCCACCCAGCAAGAAGCTGGATTTTAACCCTGGCCAGTTTACTCCCAAGGTGAAGTTAGTCCTGTTGCACAAGCTCCATTTTCTGATTGAATACCCACCCACCCACGATGGCACCTACTTCCTGGCTTCTTATAAGACAGCCCTTCTGCCACATCAATGGTCTTTTGTTCTGTCTCACACCAAATCCACACACCAGCTATTTCCTCTTGGCAAGATCTGAAACTTCACCTTCACGAATGGTCTAAGCAATTAACATTCCTTAAAGAAAATTCAGAAGTAAACAGTCTGTACAAAGCTCCCAAGGCCTGGGACCCCTAAGCAGTGTCCTCACCTCACTTTTCCTCCTAAGGAATAAGAAAGATTATGCCTGGGGAATTTGTCATCCTGGCTTGTTACAACTTTAATCCAGGGGAATGGTGCTAAAGGCAGAATTTCAGGGTCAGCATAAGGGGAGAGGATGGAGATGGTGTAACCCTTGGCGTCCTAGCCAGCAGAGAACCCACACTGTCCTCCACATACCCAGTGCTGACCGTGCCCAGGCTTCTCCACGAAGGGCATCTGGTCCATGTACAGTTCCTCTCTCTTCCCTCAGGGGTCAAGGGGTAGCACACTCATAAAAGAGAAGAGCCTTTTGGGTAAGCAGGGCCTCTCAAAGACAAGGTTTCACGTTGGTTATTAAATTATTTGTTATGGTAGGCACTTGTCTTGGAGGCACTGGGGTTTGAACTCAGGGCCTTACACTTGCTAGCAGGCACTCTTACTGCTTGAACCACTCCACCAGCTCTTTTTTGTGAGGGGTTTTTTGCGATTGGGTCTCCTGAACTATGTGTGCAGGGCTGGCTTTGAACCTTGATCCTCCTGATCTCTGCCTCCTGAGCAGCTAGGATTACAGGCGTGAGCACCAGCACCTGGCTGAGCACTTGTCTAACAAGCACAAGACCACAACCTTCCACAGGTAGGAGACTCTTCAGGTAGGGTTCAGGAGACCAGCTCTGTCCCTGTCAGTCTTGCCTTTCCCATTGGGATATTTTGGTCCCAAAGGTGGTAAAGTAACCAGGTGGAGACCACTCCAAAACAAAGAAGCAGTAAATCCACGCCTGGAGGAGGAAGAGGGGAATGCTAATATCCCAAAGCAAGGGTCAGGGGGCTGATGGAGAGACAACTAGGCCTGGACAGAGCTGACTCCAGGGACTCTGGATGTGTGTGCTAGGGCTGCTGGACAGAGCCCTCCATGTCCCTGGAGCCTGGCAAGGACTGTGAAAGCAGATGCAGGGAGCCTGTGAGAGCACCGAGGCTCTGCATAACTTCTACTGTTTTTATGACAGAAAATTTCAAATATACGCAAAAGGAAACTCTTGTAATGACCCCCCCCATGTTCTAAATGCCCAAGTTCAACAATTACCAACATGTTGCTTATCTTTTTTTTATTTATTTCTTTTTAATCTTATGACCTTTCGTAACTGGAGTTGTAGGTAGACTCTGGGGGTTCCATATCCAATATGTCAGGTTGGTCCAATTGCCTCTTCCCCGCCTCAAAAAAAAAAAAGAAAGAAAACAAGCAAAAGTAATGAAAAGACAGGATTTTAATCAAACTGACCATTTGGGAAAGATGGAAATCAAGCATGTCAGCCCATCTTCAGAGAACTGAGAGAGGAAGAATTGGGGCGGTGAGGGAGGCAGAGGGTCTTGGTCAAAGTGTGGGCTGGTTGATGCTCTCTCAGTTTGGGGGGGCGGAAATTAGCTCATTATGGGGTGATTTGTTTGTGGGGCCCTGTTATTCCTGGAATCCAAGGTGATTGCAGGTTTAGGACAATGATTGGAGACTCAGATGTCTTTTCTGGGGTCTGGAACAGAACATTGTAAAAGCCCACAGTGAGATGCTTCTTATCTGTGTGCCTTCGACCTTGAAGGGAGTGAGATAGGATGGGTATCACTAATGTTTAAACAGTCACTCCTGAGCGATTATGTATACATGCAGAGTTAAGCAGGAATCTAACCCAAAGTACAGGAGACAACTGCAAAATAAGGCAGAGATGCCAGGCTTTTATCCTGCTTCTAGATACTTAGTGAAAAGCAGTGAGGAGTCCATGCTTTTCAGCAAAGGCAGTTTCTAAGTATCAGTTATACTTTTTTTTTGGTGGTACTGGGGTTTGAACTCAGGGCCTCACACTTGCTAGGTGGGAGCGGTACCACTTGAGCCACTCTGCCAGCCCATCAGTTATACTTTCATTTAAATATATATATATGTATATATACATATATATACATATATATATTTTAGGTAAGTACTCTGAGTATTTTAAAACAAATCCCAGACTTGATATCATCTCATTTATAAATTAAATGTATCAAACAAGCCAGGTGCCGGTGGCTCACTCTGTAATCCTAGCTACTCAGGAGGCAGAGATCAGGAGGATCCTGGTTTGAAGCCAGCCCCAGGCAAATAGCTCACAAAACCCTATCTTGAAAAACCCATCACAAAAAAAAGGACTGGTGGAGTGGCTCCGAGTTCAAACCCCAGTACCATAAAAAAAAAAAGTCAAACAAAAATTATAGGAGGCCATTGTTTTGGGACAGGACTCCTGCAGTAGGCTTCAACAAACCAGACCAACTCAAAATGGAGTCACCTGGGAGGCAGGAACTTTCAAAGGCAAGGCCTGATGGGGGTGAGGGGGTGATGAAGCTGCCAGCTCTTCAACTGATGTTGAGTGCAGCTCAAATTGTTCTTTGGTTTCCGATTAGTCTCTCCTGAGATGACTGTAGAAACTGGATCAGACCAGCCCAAACTGCAGAGTCCCTCTTCTTCCGGGTGACCTAGAGAAAACTTTGCTCATCATCAACTCCTTATGAAGTTAAATTCTCCCCCGGGGAAGTGGTCCTCTCCACCATCTGTGGATGTGCATGTATGAAGAGCATGACCCAGAGCCCCTATGTGCAGGAATGTTCCCACATGCACTCTCGATAAAATCCCCTTTGCTCTGAGAGGCCTGCTTTGGGAGTCATCCCAATGCTCTCCTTACCTACTGCAAATAAAACACCTTTCTTTGCTCTTTCATTATCTCGTTGTGCTCATTGGCTTGGATGTTACCCAAGGGCTGAACCCATGTGTTGAGTTACAAAGTCACTCCGGCTAAATACCGAATTATCAAACTAAAACTTTAAGGAAGCTGACAGATCCCCCAATCGGACCCGTTTTTCTTGAGAACAGGAGATTCCAGTCCACCTGAGTCACAATGAGAATAATAAGTCCCAGCCCTAGGTGCTGGTGGCGCCTGTAATCAATCCTAGTTACTCAGGAGGCAGAGATCAGGAGGATCATGGATTGAAGCCAGCAGTGGCAAATAGTTGGAGAGACCCTACCTCGAAAAACCCTTCACAAAAAAAAAAAAAAAAAAAAAAAGGGCTCAAGTGGTAGAGCGCCTGCCTACCAAGAGTGCAGGCCCTGAGTCCTAAACCCCACTTCCACCTAAAAATAGTGTGTCCCCTCCACTGAACCCTCACAAAACAGTAACCTGAAGTAATCTGACGCTAACCTTTTTTTTTGTTGTTCGCTTTCCTTATTCCTAATGGACAAAACCTACTGTTCCGGTTTTGCCAGTGGGAATTCCATCCTATTTTGTAGAGTGGCGGCAGCCCTAATCCACCAATCGTGGACAAAAGTCACTAGCTCTATAGCTAAATGTGCTGTCCTTTTGTCTTCTGACAGTGGTACTAATTGGTATTTGAAATACTACGGACATGACAGTCCCTACATCCGACCACACTCGCTAGAGTTTTGAGCCAGGAGGCCAAGATCCACTGGTATCCCTCCGGGCGGGGGCGGGGGCGGGGGAGCCCTCCCGCGTTACCGGCTGTACCCGACCAGCGGTTCCCCCACGCACTGCTCCAGGCACAGGCGGGAGCGCACCCGGCTAGGGATGCAGCCGGGTCAGGGGACGTGCCAGCGGCGGTAACTGAATCGAGGAGTGCTAGGCGGGCTAGGGCGGGGTGCCGGGGGCGGGAATGGCCCCGGAAACAGTGTGTCGGGGGGGGGCTCTCCCACCACCCGCAGGAAAACCGCCCCGCCGCCCCGGCCGGGAGCAGGAAGTTGTCCCCGGGGTGCGGCTGCAGGGCGCGGCTCTGCAGGTGCAGCTGAGGGCAGCGCAGGCGGGTATCCGGTGCATGGAGAGGTGAGCGCCAAGCAGCGCAGACCGAGTGACCAGAGCTGTGCCCAGCGGAGGGACGGTATTTCTGGATGGAAAAGGGACCCCAGGAATGATAGGGGTGCTGCATTGAGGCTCAGAGAGCGCGGGTTCAGGCAGCCCAGGAGGGTCTGGAACACGGGGTCTGGGCGGACGGACTGTAATCTGGAAAGGGTGCAGTGGCCTCCGGCCTCTGGGGACGCTGCCGGGGGTCTTAGGCTTGGGAGAGGGCCGGGAGGCGGTGAAAATGAGGAGACAGAGAGGAAGCCATAACAAGGTCTGGACGAGTGCATGGGCTTGTGGCGCGACGGGGAACTGGTATGGAGTCTCTGGCAGAGGAGAACTGGTGCCAAGGCTCTGGGGGGCGCACCCCGGATTCTGGGAGGGGGAAAAAGATCCAGGATAGCAGCGTGGAGGGAAGAGACTTCTGAAGCAGGTAGTGAGGGTGGGCTGGGGGAGGGTGATGGAGACCTTCTAGGAAGGGGGCGAGAGTACACCCAGAAAAACCTTCCCTGGCTGGTGAGGGCCCCTCCCTTCCACCATCAGCGGGCTAGAGTGCAGGACGATGGGGACAGGGGCAGACGCGATGACGCGGGCCGGAATGGCGAACCGCGAGGTCTCTAGGCTGTGGCTTTAAGGGCGACGCGGGGCGCGCAGGCCCTTTAAGGAGGGGGCGGGGTCGCGTCAGGAAATGAGCCCTGGCCCCGCCCCGCCCGGGAGGCGGCCTTGGACGTCCGGAGGCTCCAAGGCCAGGGCCGAACCCGATCCCGATCCCGGTCCCGATCCCGATCCCGCGCCAGAGCACCTCTGGCCTGGGGTTCACCCGCGTCCCGGACCCCTCCCGGAGCGGGGCCTCCCCGAAGCCCGCCTTCCATCTGCTCCCTGCGACCCCCTCTGCCTCAGCAGCCCTGCATTCCTTCCCCTGTCCTTCTGTGCTCCCCCTCCCCCTCTCCCTGGGACTTCTCCCTTCTAGGCCTCACCCCCTTGTCCCCTCCCAGGTCGTCTGCCCTGGCCTCACCACCTTAGCCTGGCCCTGGTCCCTTCCCTGCGGCTTGACCCATGAGCCCCCTTGGGGAGGGGGCCCCAGTGGAGCAGCACAGCTGGGCTCACCCCAAAGTACAGCCTCCAACAGGAAGAAGGCCCTTAGGCTACTCCCATGTGACAGTTGAGGGTAGAGCCCGTAGAAAGAAGCAGCTCACTGCCCTGCACCCCTGGGAATCCGCTGTGGCCCAGGGGTGACCAGCTCCTCTGCTGTCATGAACAGGGCCCCTCTGAAGCGGTCGAGGATCCTGCATATGGCACTGACCGGTGCCTCCGATCCCTCAGAAGAAGCAGAGGGGGGCCATGGGGAGAAGCCTTTCCTGGTGCGGGCACTGCAGATCACTCTGGTGGTCTCTCTCTACTGGGTCACTTCCATCTCCATGGTGTTCCTCAACAAGTACCTGCTGGACAGCCCCTCACTGCACCTGGACACCCCCATCTTTGTCACCTTCTACCAGTGCCTGGTGACCACATTGCTGTGTAAGGGGCTCAGCGTGCTAGCCACCTGCTGCCCTGGTGCGGTGGACTTCCCCACCCTGCGCCTGGACCTCAGGGTGGCCCGCAGTGTCCTGCCACTGTCGGTGGTCTTTATTGGCATGATCACCTTCAATAACCTGTGCCTCAAGTATGTCGGGGTGGCCTTCTACAACGTGGGCCGCTCACTTACCACCGTCTTCAATGTGCTGCTGTCCTACCTGCTGCTCAAACAGGTCACGTCCTTCTACGCCCTGCTCACCTGCGGCGTCATCATAGGTAAGGAGCAGGATGGGCATGGGGGTTGAACCCCTAAAGAACAACCCTGCCAGGTATCTTTGGATTTCATCTGTCCCAGCTCTCTGGGTTCAACGATCATAAGAGGAAGAGCCTGGGCCCAGAGAGAGCCAAAAACTTGCTTATGGTCACCCAGCAAGTTAAAGATCCTGCAAGGGCAAAAATAATAATAGCAACAGCTACAGTAAAAGCAACACTTTTGAGTGCTAATTGAGTACTTCAGTTGTGTCAGGCACACAGGGCTAAGCACCGCACCCATATTATCTGTCAAGTAATCTGACAAGGTGAGGTTACAATCCACAATTAACACAGGGAAAAACAGGGCACAGAGAGGTCATGTAACTTGTCCAGGATCACACAGGCAGTTACTGGTGGAGCTGGGATCTGAATACAAGCAATCTGGATCCATTGGTCACACTCTTGACTGCTATACCATGTTGCTTCTCAAGACCTCAAGTGTCCCAATTGTCTATCCAGTTGTCTTTATAGAGGACAAAGACATCTTTTAATCAGTATACCATCACCCCTGACCTTGCTGAGGAAAACACCAGCAAGACCCTCAGAAAATAATTATTGGTGGGGACAGTATGCTAATTATTCCACATATAGCATGTCCTTGTTTTTACCCAGAAGTCCTACAGGTGGTGGCATTCCTGTGATCATCTCTGTACAAATGAGGAAACTGAGGCTCAGAGAGGTTATATTACTCACCCAGAGCCACACAGCTAGGAAGTAGGTAGGCTAGGATACAAACCCAGATTGGCCAGGCTCCCAGGCGTGTGTGCTTCTAACCACTCTACCCCATTCTTGTAGCCACTGGCCACACGTGTATTTAAATTGGTTAAAATGCAGTGCAGTTTTAAGTGACCAGTTCCTCCATCATAGGTGTTATAACCTGATTGTGTGACCACACTTGGGCACTCAGTAGCCACATGTGGCTAGGGGCTCCTGTGTTGGGCAGCCACAGGTAAGGGAATGTTTCTATCATTGCAAATCAGATTGGCCAGCACCATGGGGTTGAGAACCCTTAGCTCCCCCTGCATTCCTGGGAGTCCTCCTGGGCTCTGCCATCTAGACATGGGATCTTTATTTGTATCTGCTCAGGCTTGTCTTATTTGGCCTACTTATTCTTCCCTGGTGTCTCAGAGTCCCAGTTGAGGTGCTCTGGTGGTGAGGGGGAGGGGGACAACACACCCCCTATCCCCTTTGCTTTTCAGATAGGGTCTCATGCTTTTACCCAGGTTGCCCTCAATGGTCATCCTCCTACCTATATCTCATGTAACTGGAATTATAGATAGGAACCACAACACCTGGCTTATTTGTTGAGATGACCTGACCTGGCATTGAATCGTGAACCTTATGATCTCCACCTTCCAAGTAGCTAGGATTATAGACATGATCCACTGCACCTGGCCTAGACTCTTGTTTTTCATATAGAGTCTTGTTATATTGTCCAGGCTGGCCCTGCACTCCTGGGATCAAGCAGTCGCTCTGACTCAACCTCCCATGCAACTGGAACTGCACTGCACCTGGCTTCTTTTTTTTTTTTTTTTTGGCAGTACTAGGGTTTGTACCCAGGGCCTCATGCCTGCTAGGCAGGCAGTCTACCACTTGAGCCATTCCACAAGCCCTTTTTTGTGATGGGTTTTTCAAGATAAGTTCTGGTGAACTATTTTCCTGGGCTGGTTTCAAACAGCAATCCTCCTGATCTCTGCCTCCTGAATAGCTAGGATTACAGGCATAAGACACCAGCACTGGCTGCACTTGGCTTCTTATCTCCTTTAATTCTTGCAATAACCACCATAACAACTGCTGTTCATTCATTCAGCAGATAGGTGACTAAGCTCTTTGGGGTTACAAGTTTGGAAAAGGTGGGGTCTGTTCCTACACTCCTGGAGGGCATGGTGATGGCTTGTGGAGGTAATGACAGTTACACCGGAGTGGTAAGGGCTGTTCGGGGACACAGAAGGCTGTGGAGACTCTGGAAGGAGGGGCAAGCTAAGCAGGCTTCCTGGAGGAAGTCCTTGCCTGACCTGAGGCTGCCCAGTCAGGGCGCAGTGGACTATACATGGTGCCAGCCTTAAGAGCACGCCAGAGGCTGAGGGCATAAAGGAGCCAGAGGCTTTGATCTGTGCTGGTGGAAGAGCATTCAAATTACATGGTGGGAAGTATATTGGTTAGAGTAGGGCTCAAGAAAGTGGCCCAGATCTTTACAGATGAAGAAAACCAAGCTCAGAGAGGTTAAGCAACTTCTCCCAGGCCACTCAGTGTCTAAATTGCAGAGGAAATCTCTTGACACCCAGGCTCTTCCCACTTCCCCATGTTGCTAAATGCTGTGGCAGAAGATGTAATGTGTAAAATTCAGCCCCTATTTTCTGGTCATATTGGGGTCTAGCTAAAGTTACCAGACTGTTGCCATGGGCAGGTGCCCAGCAGCTCAAGGCAGGCGAGAGGGCGGGGGGAGCTCAGTGGGAGGCACAGGCAGTAAAAGAATCCAGGAATAGGTCTGAGGGCTGGAGGAACAGGGCAGGATCCCCTGCCCCCAGAAGCTAATTTTGACCTTGAAGAATGAGCAGAAAGGGGGAGGGGTTTCTGGTGCAGACACTGAGCCCCTTTGTGAGAAGCAGGAGATGAGAGGATGGCTTAGGGTGATCTCAGGACAGAGGACTGACATGGGCACAGGGACCCAGCTTGCTAGGCTGTGAAGAAGGACAGTCGCTCTTTGAGCACGAGGTGACCCAAGAGTCAGTCTTAGAGTAACTGTTCAAAGCTACTTCAGGTCAGGAGCCATTCTAATTTAAGGCTTTCAGGAAGATGTCTAAGGGAGAGGAAGGCAAGACTTAGAGACCCTGTCACTTGTCCGAGGTCATTTTAACCACCAAGCACTCGTTCTAAAGAACTGACAGTCCCGGCGCCCTGTGCTGTTTTATGGCCCTCGTTACAGTGATTATACATGCAATTAAGGAAGTAACGGGGTGTGATCTGCCCTAATGCCTCCCCTCTGCTAGAATAGAGGCTGGGAGGAAGGGGTGCTGCTCTGACCACTTCCCCAGCCCTTGAATCTTGGAAGGGAAGACAGTAGACTCCTTAGATTTGTGTGTGTGTGTGTGTGTGTGGCACTGGAGTTTGAACTCAGGGCCTACACCTTCAACCACTCCACCAACCCTGTTTTGTGGTGGGTTTTTTCAAGATGAGTTCTCACGAACTATTTGCTCAGGCTGGCTTTGAACCATGATCCTCCTCATCTCTGTCTCCTGAGTAGCAATGATTACAGGCGTGAGCCTCCAGCGCCTGGCTAGAACCTTGGATGTTTTTGTGGGAGGATGGGATGATGAGGGCCACAGTGCCTTTGTGAATTTTGGTGTCAAAATTCTGTCCCTTTCCCTCCCACCCTCATACTTCTGCTCCTTCCCTGAGGCAGGTGGCTTCTGGCTGGGTGTGGACCAGGAGGGAGCTGAGGGCACCCTGTCTCTGATGGGCACCATCTTTGGGGTGCTGGCCAGCCTCTGCGTCTCGCTCAACGCCATCTACACCAAGAAGGTGCTCCCGTCTGTGGACGGTAGCATCTGGCGCCTGACCTTCTACAACAATGTCAACGCCTGCGTGCTTTTCCTGCCCCTGCTGCTGCTGCTGGGGGAGCTCCAGGCCCTCCGTGACTTTGCCCAGCTGGGCAGTGCCTACTTTTGGGGCATGATGACACTGGGTGGCTTGTTTGGCTTTGCCATTGGCTATGTGACAGGACTGCAGATCAAATTCACCAGTCCCCTGACCCACAATGTGTCTGGCACGGCCAAGGCCTGCGCCCAGACGGTGCTGGCTGTGTTGTACTTTGAAGAGACCAAGAGTTTCCTGTGGTGGACGAGTAACCTGATGGTGCTGGGTGGTTCTTCTGCCTACACCTGGGTCAGGGGCTGGGAGATGAAGAAGACTCAGGAGGACCCCAGCCACAAAGAGGACGAGAAGAGCACTGTGGGGGTGTGAGCTCCTTTGGGACACTAGGGTGGCCCATCCCCAGGGATGAACTCAGGTGGGGCCAGTACAGCACTTACAGGCTGTCCCTCTGTGGACTCAGGGTGGTGTGGCCTGGAGTGCTGTCGTTTACAGAGCTGATCAGAAGTCATGTCAGAACACTGCCAAACCTGTCTCTCCCCTATCCTATTTCTGGGAAACCCTACAGGCAGTAGCACATCACCTGCTCCCTCCCAGACCTGTCTACCTCCACATCACCTCTGGGGTTGGGACAGGCTGCAGCCTCAGGAGAAAGTCTTGGTTAAGTGAAGTCTTCCCTGATACTCAAGAGAGATGGGAGACACCCCACCACAGCCCGCTGAAGGGGGTTGGGAAACCCCAGGACTTTGGGGTCTTGGGCAGACAGTGTAGCTTAGCCCAGTAAACCAGCCTGCCTTGGGAGAGCTGTGTGGGTTGGGCCAAGGGAGGAAGAAAAGCATTGTGTTGAGACCCACAAGCCAGGGGAAGGACATGAAGGGTCAGCCAAACCTGTGACTGTCCCTGTGTCCCTAGCAACCTCCAGGGGCAGCTGGGAATGGAGTGTGTCATGAGAATGTGCTCACCTGCTACACCCCATGGCTGCAGCTTTGGAGCCCGGGGAGCCACACACATTTTATATGGTAGGTAGGGTTTTGAGCACCTCCCCAGTCCCTGCCCACATTTACCTGCCTGGCTCCTCTACCCCTGAGGGCCACACCTTGTCCTCTCCCCACACTTGGCACCTGGGTCAGGTAACAGACTTGTGGACACTGAGTCAGGGAGCTTCTTCCCCCACTATCTCCCCCAGAGCCTCATCTCCAAGTGGGTGGAAGGGGCCTCATTCAGAGCCTCCACTTCACTGGGTGCTTGTCCCCAGATCCCTGGTCCCTTGCCTCTTCCCTTGGGATGGTGATAAGTACATTAATCTTTCCCCTGAGCCTTCATCCACTGGGGTCTGAAACAGAATCCCATAGACCGGGTGGTGAGAAACCCTGGAAGTTAATTTCTCACAGCTCTGGAGGCTGCAAGTCCAAGGTCCAGGCGCCACCTGCTTCTGTTTCCTGGTTCCTAGGTAGCACCTTGTCTGTGTCCTCACACAGCACAAGTGCACAGGCTCCCTCAGGCCTCTGTTAAGTAGTGCTAATCCCAGTCATGAGAGTCTGCTCCGACCTAATCAGCCCCAAAGGCTCCACCTCCTTGAGGGTGAGGACTCCAACATGAATTTGGTGGCAGGGGTGGGGGGGTTGGGGGGATGGGAGGGGCAGGGGTGAAACGAAAGCATTCAACCATGGCTCCCTCATCACTCCCTCCTAGCCTCGGTGGCTTTCACTCCCCTGTTCCTTCTGTTGGGCATTTGTACCCCAATCTCCTTGGGGTGGTTTCTGACATTTTTGTCCCTATTACCGTGAAGAGCTGGGGAGGGCAGCCCTCTCTCCATCCTCCCCCTCCTGCTCCCCACAGCCCCAAATGGTTTCTAATGAAGTTGGTGTAGCCTAAGGCCCTGAGCTATGTGCAATTTAATAAAAAGCCAGAGCAAGACATCCCCTGTGTGTGGTGTGAGGGAGGGAGGGGTTACAGGGTCCTGGTGGAAGTTTACGACACCCTCATCAGGCCCAGCTGCTAGCAGGCACCCTTCGGAGCCTCAGATCCTTTAGGACCAGGGATCAATCCAAGTTTCATATCAGCACTAGCTGCTACTGACCAGGTGCTCGTGAAGGGCCAGCCAGAGTGCTTTGAGTGTTGTCCATCTGTCATTCATCATCACAGCCTCTCACACCATGTGAGGTGGGGGCTGTGCTGACCCCTTCCCCCCATTTGACACAGGAGGTCACTGAGCTCAGGGAGGTGGCAGCAACAGGATTCAAAGGAAGTCTCAGCCTTCCACGGTTCCCTTAGCTACATACAGAATCCTTTCCTCTGGCACCAACTATGTGCCTGATGCTGTCACAGGTTATATTCAAGGGAAGCCCCAGTCTGTGGAATCCTGTGTCAGGACTGACCTTGTGACTTGCTCCAACCAATAGAAGACAGAAAAATACATGCTGTGTGGGGGCTTTGAGCTTGACTGGGAGGTTCTGCTTCTCCCTGAGTTGTCCTGACAGCATCAGGGAGAGGCCACGTGGAGGAGACTCAGACCTTTCCAACAGCTCCCCCACGGCCACCAGCATACCGGGTGGATGCTGCTACCCTGTGCCCCTTGGTCTACTGGGGCAGCCTCTAGAGAAATTGTAAATCTGCTTCAGGCCTCTAATTTTGGGAGTGATATGTAGCAATAGATAACACATTAGACTGAATAAATGCGTTAGTTGAAGGAAATGGGTTTCTTTAAAATCAGAGAAGCCATATCTCAAGGAAGACTGGAAACAGAATTCAGTGCCACCTATAGTGGGAGTTTGCAAGCTTCCAGCGAGAGAATCCCACTTTTCAGGTATGTCCCCCCAGTTCTTGGGAGAAGGGTGTGACTGGGTAAGATGTCCTACCTTCAGGCAAGCAATATCCAGACAATTGCTATGTGCCTTCAGGTAGCCTCAAAGGATGCTGGGACGCAAGCCAGTCAGGTCCGGAGCACAAGGTCATTCCTGCAGTGGAGCCTAAGGATGAAAAAATGGGGCCCAAGCCAGGCACTGGTGGCTCATGCCTGTAATGCTAGCTACTCAGAAGGCAGAGACCAGGAGGATCACTGTTCAAAGCCAGCCCGGGCAAATGGTTCATGAAATCCTATCTTGAAAATATCCAACATAAAAAAAAGGCTGGCTGAGTGGCTCAAGTGGTAGAGTGCCTGCATAGCAAGCATGACGCCCTGAGTTCAAATCCCAGTACCACAAAAGAAAAAAATGGGTCCAAAGCATTTTGATTTTTTTTTCTGATTTGATCTTTCATGGTTCAAAAACTTTGGTTCATTGTTGAACTTGTCCAACAATTTTGGACATTGTTAGTTGAGGAAACTGAGGAAACTGAGGCAAGAAAGGCTAAAGGAAGTTTCTGAAGTCACAGACCCAATTAGAGGCTAAGCCCAAGGAAGAGCATATCTCCTGATTCTCACTCAAGGTGTTTTGGCTGGTCCAAGGCCGGCAGCTGACTGGCTGTGAGTTGTTTTGTAAATTAAGCAAGCACATAGACTTTACTAGCTGTTAGACACTGTTGAAAGAGTGTTTACAAATAATAATTCATTAGCTCCTCATAACAACACTATGTGGGTACAATTCTCTATTTCACAGATGAGGAAAAACAAAGGCACAGAGAGACCGAGTAATTTGTCTGAGGTTGCACAGCTAATTAGCAGCAGAACTAGGAGTCAAACCCAGGCAGTCTGGCTTTCAACCATAAGCCATGTTGCTTCTCAAGGGTAAAAATTGATTATTCATTATCATCATCATCATCCCATACTGTAAGCAAAGGCGAGGGTATCTAAAGGTGAAAAGGGTCAAATGAGCCAGATTCAAATCGTGGCTCTGGTTTGAGTGGGCTCGATCTGGCTGTGTGGGCTTAGGCAAATCACTTAACCTCTCTGATCCTCCTCATCTGAAAGCAAGGAAGGTGTTCTACCTTAAGTTATCGATAGCATGATGACTTCAGGAGTCAACAGATGTGAAACTTACTTGACTGTGAGGAAACTGAGGCCCCAAAGGGTCAAATGGCTTTTGCAGCGTGTTAATGACGGAGTGCGGTATTCAGCTCTCCAGGCCCTCCCAATTTGCTTCCCACGGGACCACGTGGATGGAGAAGCTGCCTGTCATGTTTGAGTTGTGTTGGAACCTTCGTCCCCAGTGCAGCCATGTGGGAGGCAGGTCCGATGCCTACTGTTGAGGTAGGTCACGGGAGCTCAGCCCTCACTAACGGTTAGCGTCATTATTGCAAGAATTAGTGTGTTATTTTGGAATTGGATTTCTTTTCTTTGGTTTTGATTTGATTTGTTTTGTTTTGTTGAGACAGGGTCTCATTATGTAACCAGGCTGGTCTTGAACTCCATCCTCCTGCTTCAGCCTCCTGAGTGCTGGGATTATAGCATGAAACACCACACCCAGCAGCAGCGGGTTTCTTAAAAGTGAGTGCAGCCCCCTCTTGGCCTTTCTCCCCCTTCTTCTTCCTCCCCTCCCTATGTGTGCATGTGTGTGTGTCTCCTCCCTCGTCATCTCTCTCTCTCTCTCTCTCTCTCTCTCTCTCCCTCATGCCCTCTCTTGCCCTTCTGACCTTCCCTATGGCATAAGGCACCATGAAGGCCTCTTGCCCTTGGATTTCTCAGCCTCTGAGTTACCCTCAGCGCTCTGTTGTGACAGCACAATGCAAATAAGGATGCCGCCCTCCCCAGATGCAGCCCTCATGCTGCCACACCTCTCACTTCTGTGAAAGGCTAATTTAGGACCTGAAACCAGTCAAAACGGGGACAGCAGAGCCTGCTGTGTAGGAGCAGTGGCCCAGGTGTGCTTTAGTGGAAAGGAGGCAGAGGGAGGAGGGAGGGGACACAAGGACTCAGGTGGGGGCAATGTCAGGCTCTCACTGACACCCAGTGGGGAACTGATAGCAGTAAAGCTAGGGACGAGTTTTAGAAATTGGGGTCCAGCCTCAGATTCTCTTGGACACACACTAGGTTCAGAGAAGCCAAGGTCCCCCTGTGATGGGGCAGAATGAGGTCCAGAACCCTCTCCCAGGCCGGTGACTTCCTACTGGCTTGGGAGAAATAATACTTTCAAAACAGTCACCAATGGTGGCTGTGTGTTCTTCTGAGCACTTGATGTGCCTTCACAACGGAGACAGATCTGTAATGTCCCCACTTCACAGATGAGAAAATTACAGCACAGAGAAGTGAACAAGGGCCCCAAATCCCAGGGGAGAGCCCCTCTCTACACATGGACAGACTGACTAGACAGACAGATAAGACTATAGAACTCTGACCAAAAGCTTTGCAGCAATCAGGCAGCATCAGCCCCTGACAGTCAGGATTGGGTCAGTGACTGCCACTTTCCTATGCCACCTCCACCTTCACACTTCCACCCCAGAAGTAATCCCTCCTGCTGCAAACCTCTGGTTAGCCTGCCTCCAGCTCGCCCATGTCAGCCCTACAAGGGCGGCACTTCCTTTTCCTCTCTACAAAGCTGTCTCTACCACCTGCCTTTGACTTCTCTGCCAGCTACTGTGTGTGTGACAGTGGCCAACTCCTTCACTATAGGAAACTCTGAGTGCACGCCTCTGCATGTTCTTATTTGGGGCCAGGAAGTCCTGTTAAGGCCAAAATCCCAAATCTTCAAAAATACTGCTGGCTAAGCCAATTTGCCCCTCTGGCAGCCATTTTAACTTCTAGATTTGGGAATCAGCTTATCCTGAGTTAGAATCTGTGGTGGTCAGCTTTCTGTCACTATAGCAAATACCTGAGATGATCAATTTACCAGAAAGAAGAAGAGGGTTATTTTGGCTCACAGTTTTTCCATCCATAATTAGCCTGTGGCCAGGCAGTACATCATGGCTGGAGCAGGAGATGGAGCAAAGAAAAGAGGAAGGGACTAGGGTCTCATAATCCCCTTCAAGAGTATACCCCCCAATGATCTAAAGACTCCCGGTAGATCTCACCTCTTAAAGGCTCTGCCATCTCCCAGTAACACCTCCCTAGAGCAAGGCCTCCCATATATGAGCTTTTGGGGAACATATAAGATCCAAACAATAGCCAGGCACCAGTGGCTCAGGCCTGTAATCCTAGCTACTCAGGAGGCAGAGATCAGGAGAACTGCAGTTCAAAGCCAGCCCTGAGCAAGACCCTGTCTTTAAAAAACCCTTCACAAAAAAGGGCTGGTGGAGTGTTTCAAGTGGTAAGAGCATCTGCCTAGCAAGCATGTGACCCTGAGTTTAAACCCCAGTGCCACCAAAAAAAAAAAAAGAAATGAAAAGAAAGAAACTATAGCAGAATCCCAGGTCTGACTTCTCTTGGCTGTATAAGCAAAACAACACCACTGCAGCCTCAATTTTGCTGTCACTCCCTAGCTGTGTGTATTTGGGCAAATGATTTGACCTCTCTGAACCTTGGGGCCTAATCTGTAGCGTGAGAACGGTAACAGCTCCTCCTCCAGAGGGCACAAGTATGCTTGGCTGTCTGGAGCAGAGTGGTGTGACTTTGTCCCTCTGCCGCACAGGCCTGCTGCCGCAGCTGCTGCCTGCTGGGTGGGCAAGAGCTGGGTGGGCAAGAGCTGTGCTGGCAGGAGCTAGAGATACCAGGCCCTTCCTGTGACCCTCG